TGAGGTCCAAGTGTAGGCACGTTGACCGAGGGCAAGGATGTGATAGTAAACAACCATTCCCTTTCGGATGAGGGAGCGAGTCCCTTTGATTCCATCGCGGCTGAGCCAGACAAAGAGCATTCAGGACAGCTGTTGGTGGTGGCAGGTCTGGTTGGCGGATGGACGACTGCAGGTGTGATAGCAAGATGAGTCCAGTTGCGTTCAGCAAAGGATGAGCAGCATCTGGGAAGCAGTGTCAGTTGATGGAGAAGGTTTTTGACAGGCATTGCGTTGACGCTTGGGCAGGATGCAGACCATTGATGCTATTGGTTCACATGAGGGGTGCAGCCTCGTTGATTCCAGTGCAAGACAAGAAAGCTGACCCAGAGCAGTTGAAGGAAGCAAATCACGAGCAGGTTGGCATGCTCAGCGCTAGATCAGCATGAGGTCGAAGTGCAGGCATGTTGACCGAGGGCAAGGATGTGATAGTAAACAACCATTCCCTTTCGGATGAGGGAGCGAGTACCTTTGATTCCATCGCGGCTGAGCCAGACAAAGAGCATTCAGGACAGCTGTTGGTGGTGGCAGGTGTGGTTGGCGGATGGATGACTGCAGGTGTGGTAGCAAGATGAGTCCAGTTGCGTTTAGCAAAGGATGAGCAGCATCTGGGAAGCAGTATCAGTTCACGGAGAAAGGTTTTTGACAGGCATTGCGTTGACGCTTGGGCAGGATGCAGACCATTGATGCTATTGGTTCACATGAGGGGTGCATCCTCGTTGATTCCAGTGCAAGACAAGAAAGCTGACCCAGAGCAGTGAGGGAAGCAAATCATGAGCAGGTTGGTGTGCTCGGCGTTAGATCAGCATGAGGTCGAAGTGTAGGCATGTTGACCGAGGGCAAGGATGTGATAGTAAACAACCATTCCCTTTCGGATGAGGGAGCGAGTCCCTTTGATTCCATCGCGGCTGAGCCAGACAAAGAGCATTCAGGACAGCTGTTGGTGGTGGCAGGTCTGGTTGGCGGGTGGATGACTGCAGGTGTGATAGCAAGATGAGTCCATGTGCGGGGTGCATCCTCAGTTGATTCCAGTGCAAGACAAGAAAGCTGCAAGGCGAGACCCAGAGCAGTTGAGGGAAGCAAATCATGAGCAGGTTGGCATGCTCGGCGTTAGATCAGCATGAGGTCGAAGTGTAGGCATGTTGACCGAGGGCAAGGATGTGATAGTAAACAACCATTCCCTTTCGGATGAGGGAGCGAGTCCCTTTGATTCCATCGCGGCTGAGCCAGACAAAGAGCATTCAGGACAGCTGTTGGTGGTGGCAGGTCTGGTTGGCGGGTGGATGACTGCAGGTGTGATAGCAAGATGAGTCCATGTGCGTTCAGCAAAGGATGAGAGCAGCATCTGGGAAGCAGCATCAGTTCATGGAGACGGTTTTTGACAGGCATTGCGTTGACGCTTGGGCACAATGCAGATCATTGATGCTATTGGTTCACATGAGGGGTGCATCCTCGTTGATTCCAGTGCAAGGCGAGAAAGCTGACCCAGAGCAGTTGAAGGAAGCACATCACGAGCAGGTTGGCATGCTCTGCGTTAGATCAGCATGAGGTCGAAGTGTAGGAATGTTGACCGAGGGCAAGGATGTGATAGTAAACAACCATTCCCTTTCGGATGAGGGAGCGAGTCTCTTTGATTCCATCGCGGCTGAGCCAAACAAAGAGCATTCAGGACAGCTGTTGGTGGTGGCAGGTGTGGTTGGCGGATGGATGACTGCAGGTGTGGTAGCAAGATGAGTCCAGTTGCGTTCAGCAAAGGATGAGCAGCCTCTGGGGAGTGCTATCAGATCATGGAGAAGGTTTTTGACAGGCATTTCGTTGACGCTTGGGCAGGATGCAGACCATTGATGCTATTGGTTCACATGAGGGGTGCAGCTTCGTTGATTCCAGGGCAAGGCGAGAAAGCTGGCCCAGAGCAGTTGAGGGAAGCAAATCATGCGCAGGTTGGCATGCTCGGCGCTAGATCAGCATGATGTCGAAGTGTAGGCACGTTGACCGAGGGCAAGGATGTGATAGTAAACAACCATTCCCTTTCGGATGAGGGAGAGTCCCTTTGATTCCATCGCGGCTGAGCCAGACAAAGAGCATTCAGGACAGCTGTTGGTGGTGGCAGGTCTGGTTGGCGGATGGATGACTGCAGGTGTGATAGCAAGATGAGTCCAGTTGCGTTCAGCAAAGGATGAGCAGCCTCTGGGGAGTGCTATCAGATCATGGAGAAGGTTTTTGACAGGCATTGCGTTGACGCTTGGGCAGGAGGCAGATCATTGATGCTATTGGTTCACATGAGGGGTGCATCCTCGTTGATTCCAGTGCAAGGCGAGAAAGCTGACCCAGAGCAGTTGAGGGAAGCAAATCATGCGCAGGTTGGCATGCTCAGCGCTAGATCAGCATGAGGTCGAAGTGTAGGCACGTTGACCGAGGGCAAGGATGTGATAGTAAACAACCATTCCCTTTCGGATGAGGGAGCGAGTCTCTTTGATTCCATCGCGGCTGAGCCAAACAAAGAGCATTCAGGACAGCTGTTGGTGGTGGCAGGTGTGGTTGGCGGATGGATGACTGCAGGTGTGGTAGCAAGATGAGTCCAGTTGCGTTCAGCAAAGGATAAGCAGCCTCTGGGGAGTGCTATCAGATCATGGAGAAGGTTTTTGACAGGCATTCGTTGACGCTTGGGCAGGATGCAGACCATTGATGCTATTGGTTCACATGAGGGGTGCAGCTTCGTTGATTCCAGGGCAAGGCGAGAAAGCTGGCCCAGAGCAGTTGAGGGAAGCAAATCATGCGCAGGTTGGCATGCTCAGCGCTAGATCAGCATGATGTCGAAGTGTAGGCACGTTGACCGAGGGCAAGGATGTGATAGTAAACAACCATTCCCTTTCGGATGAGGGAGCGAGTCCTCTTTGATTCCATCGCGGCTGAGCCAGACAAAGAGCATTCAGGACAGCTGTTGGTGGTGGCAGGTGTGGTTGGCGGATGGATGACTGCAGGTGTGGTAGCAAGATGAGTCCAGTTGCGTTCAGCAAAGGATGCAGCCTCTGGGGAGTGCTATCAGATCATGGAGAAGGTAGGCATTGCGTTGACACTTGGGCAGGAGGCAGATCATTGATGCTATTGGTTCACATGAGGGGTGCAGCCTCGTTGATTCCAGTGCAAGACAAGAAAGCTGACCCAGAGCAGTTGAAGGAAGCACATCACGAGCAGGTTGGCATGCTCAGCGCTAGATCAGCATGAGGTCGAAGTGCAGGCATGTTGACCGAGGGCAAGGATGTGATAGTAAACAACCATTCCCTTTCGGATGAGGGAGCGAGTACCTTTGATTCCATCGCGGCTGAGCCAGACAAAGAGCATTCAGGACAGCTGTTGGTGGTGGCAGGTCTGGTTGGCGGATGGGTGACTGCAGGTGTGGTAGCAAGATGAGCCCAGTTGCGTTCAGCAAAGGATGAGCAGCCTCTGGGGAGTGCTATCAGATCATGGAGAAGGTTTTTGACAGGCATTTCGTTGACGCTTGGGCAGGATGCAGACCATTGATGCTATTGGTTCACATGAGGGGTGCATCCTCGTTGATTCCAGTGCAAGGCGAGAAAGCTGACCCAGAGCAGTTGAGGGAAGCAAATCACGAGCAGGTTGGCATGCTCAGCGATAGATCAGCATGATGTCGAAGTGTAGGCACATTGACCGAGGGCAAGGATGTGATAGTAAACAACCATTCCGACCATTCCCTTTCGGATGAGGGAGCGAGTCCCTTTGATTCCATCGCGGCTGAGCCCGACAAAGAGCATTCAGGACAGCTGTTGGTGGTGGCAGGTCTGGTTGGCTGATAGATGACTGCAGCTGTGATAGCATGATGAGCCCAGCAGCGTTTAGCAAAGGATGAGCAGCCTCTGGGAAGCAGTACCAGTTCATGGAGAAAGGTTTTTGACAGGCATTGCGTTGACGCTTGGGCAGGATGCAGATCATTGATGCTATTGGTTCACATGAGGGGTGCATCCTCGTTGATTCCAGTACAAGACAAGAAAGCTGGCCTAGAGCATTGAGGGAAGCAAATCATGCGCAGGTTGGTGTGCTCGGTGTTAGATCAGCATGATGTCGAAGTGTAGGCACGTTGACCGAGGGCCAGGATGTGATAGTAAACAACCATTCCCTTTCGGATGAGGGAGCGAGTCCCTTTGATTCCATCGCGGCTGAGCCAAACAAAGAGCATTCAGGACAGCTGTTGGTGGTGGCAGGTCTGGTTGGCGGATGGATGACTGCAGGTGTGGTAGCAAGATGAGTCCAGTTGCGTTCAGCAAAGGATGAGCAGCCTCTGGGAAGCAGTACCAGTTCATGGAGAAAGTTTTTGACAGGCATTTCGTTGACGCTTGGGCAGGATGCAGATCATTGATGCTATTGGTTCACATGAGGGGTGCATCCTCGTTGATTCCAGTGCAAGACAAGAAAGCTGACCTAGAGCATTGAGGGTTGCAAATCATGAGCAGGTTGGTGTGCTCGGCGCTAGATCAGCATGAGGTCGAAGTGTAGGCACGTTGACCGAGGGCAAGGATGTGATAGTAAACAACCATTCCCTTTCGGATGAGGGAGCGAGTCCCTTTGATTCCATCGCGGCTGAGCCAAAGAAAGAGTGCAGGGATGTTTGGTTTTCGGCACACTCGTCAGAGAAGGACTCGACAGCCTGTCCATGCGCGGAGTCTTGAAAGTCGTTTGAGTTGGCACAGCCTGTCTGGTACCCCTGCCCCTCATCCTTGTGGCTGGTGAATGTGTTCGCGGTGGTTTGCCTGGAGCTCTAACTGTGTTTCCAACAAAATCAACGAGGCTCCCAGGTTCACGGAGACGCGATTTGAATCTTTATGTTCGGCATGTTGGAATTGTGTCTTTCCAGTCAGCAAGGCCAACTCGGATTGGTTGCGGGAAACCAACATGTCTGGAGGCTGTCCCTCTCGAGGTGAGCCTAAGTGGAGACTTCTACTTCCGAGGTCCGCATCTCATTGCTGGTGGGTGGGCCCTGCAACGTGGGCCCGGGCATGGTCGTGGGCGAGGAGAGTCCGAGCCAGCGATTCGTTCACGGCACGGGCATGGGCTGATTTGCGCGTCTTTTGTTTATGCACCTTGCAACGAACTGCTTCACCTCGTTCAGCCAGCGGAGGACAACTTGTCCAGTTTGTTTCTGCTGTTTTTCAGGCAGTTGTTTGCTTTTCTCTGGGCTGGCATTTCGGCTTTTACGAAGCTTTCTGTTGGTACCTGTGGCTTTTGGAGGCTTCTGCTTTCCGCATCCGATCAGAAACACGCTTAGCATCAGACGGTGCTGGTGTACAGCACATCTTTTTCTTCATTTTTTGAGATGCAACATTTTGATACCCATCACAATTCCACCTGAGTGGACAAAGCAAGGCAAGATCAAGCCTTCGATTTCCCGCACACCACCTTTTCTCGGTTTGTAGAGCCACACAGGCCAGGCCATACAGCCAGGGGGCCTTTCCCATTCCCAGGAGGTTGTCCACAAACTGTCACGGCTCAAGCAGGAATACCATGCGTCATTGAGTTAGTTAGGTGTGCTGAGTTTGCTCTCTATTTCTCAAATATCACACCCCTAACTTTGTTCGAGCTTCGCTTGTAATGATTCTGAAGCAAAACAAACAATTGTCAGGAGCTTGCCGAAGCCATCCGTTCCCATCTAGACCTCCAGAAGGAGACGCCCAACGCCCCGCTCTCAGATTGACGATGATAGCGCTTGCACGAATGATGCAATGCGTCAAGCATCAACAGTTATTTTGGCGATCAGTAGGGAATGTGGGAATGAACTCAGAGGTCCCCTTAAAGGAGACCACAGGGGATGGTTTAAGGGTCATGCCCTTATTCACTGCCGAGCACCAGCAAGTAGCTGTTGCTGCTAATTGTGTGACTGCTTAAGCAGGTCACTTCGTTTGCAAGGCTTTGCGGTAGCCACACCCTGCCACGAGACCTCCCCCTGCTCCGCTGCAAAAGCAAACTGTCACTCTGACAACCCTGAACTCATCCCCTTACCTTAAGCCGCCCTGGACAACCCTAAGGTTATCCTTAGCAAGCATGACAATAATCTGAAGTGAAGCCTAAGCTAACCCTAAACAACCCTCGACCAAGTCATGCCAGTATGCATACGAGGTTTCACAAGCTTCCAGGGCTGATGTTATACCCCTGACAGGGGTATCGCCAATTTTCCGTGAAGCCACACTTTCTTTTTTGTTTATTTATTTACTTAAAGAATCTATACACATAGTATGTGGTTTGGAGCTGTGCGTGGCAACCCGCAGGGTACACGACACCCTCTGCCTGAGGCCAAGTACACGAAGAAGGCGCTGAAGTTCTATGCTTCGCTGGCCTCAAGGGTCGGGTTCTCGGGGTGATTTGGCCCTTTTCGACCGAAGGGTTGGTTGAGGTTGAGGTTGGTTAAGAACAAGGTTAAGGTTGGTTATGGTTGGTTAAGGTTGGCTAAGCTTGGTTGAGGTTGGTTAGGGTTGGTTGGTTGGTTAAGGTTGGTTGGGGTTGGTTAAGCTTGGCTAAGCTTGGTTAAGGTTGGTTACAGTTGGTTAAGGTTGGTTCAGGTTGGTTAAGGTTAAGGTTGGTTAAGGTTAAGGTTGGTTAAGGTTTGTTAAGGTGAAGGTTAAGGTCAAGGCTAAGGTCAAGGTTAAGGTCAAGGTTAAGGTCAAGGTTAAGGTCAAGGTTAAGGTCAAGGTTAAGGTCAAGGTTAAGGTCAAGGTTAAGGTTGGTTAAGGTTGGTTAAGGTTGGTTAAGGTTGGTTGGTTGGTTGGTTGGTTGGTTGGTTGGTTGGTTGGTTGGTTGGTTGGTTGGTTGGTTGGTTGGTTGGTTGGTTGGTTGGTTGGTTGGTTGGTTGGTTGGTTGGTTGGTTGGTTGGTTGGTTGGTTGGTTAATGTTGGTTAAGGTTGGTTAAGGTTGGTTAAGGTTGGTTAAGGTTGGTTAAGGTTGGTTAAGGTTGGTTAAGGTTGGTTAAGGTTGGTTAAGGTTGGTTAAGGTTGGTTAAGGTTGGTTAAGGTTGGTTAAGGTTGGTTAAGGTTGGTTAAGGTTGGTTAAGGTTGGTTAAGGTTGGTTAAGGTTGGTTAAGGTTGGTTAAGGTTGGTTAAGGTTGGTTAAGGTTGGCTAAGGTTGGCAGTTGGCTAAGGTTGGTTAAGGTTGGTTAAGGTTGGTTAAGGTTGGCTAAGGTTGGTTAGGGTTGGTGGTTGGTTAAGGTTCCTTGGTGGGTTGGTTGGTCGGTCGGTCGGTGGGTCGGTCGGTCGGTTGGTTGGTTAAGGTTGGTTGAGGTTGGTTAAGGTTGATTCAGGTTGGTTAAGGTTGGTTAAGGTTGGTTAAGGTTGGTTAAGTTTGGCTAAGGTTGGTTAATGTTGGTTAAGGTTGGTTAAGGTTGGTTGGTTGGTTGGTTGGTTGGTTGGTTGGTTGGTTGGTTGGTTGGTTGGTTGGTTGGTTGGTTGGTTGGTTGGTTGGTTGGTTGGTTGGTTGGTTGGTTGGTTGGTTGGTTGGTTGGTTGGTTGGTTGGTTGGTTGGTTGGTTGGTTGGTTGGTTGGTTGGTTGGTTGGTTGGTTGGTGGTATTGGTTGGTTGGTTGGTTGGTTCGGTTGGTTGGTTAAGGTTGGTTGAGGTTGGTTAAGGTTGGTTAAGGTTGGTTAAGGTTGGTTAAGGTTGGTTAAGGTTGGTTAAGTTTGGCTAAGGTTGGTTAAGGTTGGTTAAGGTTGGTTAAGGTTGGTTAAGGTTGGTTGGTTAAGGTTGGTTGGTTAAGGTTAAGGTTAAGGTTAAGGTTAAGGTTAAGGTTAAGGTTAAGGTTAAGGTTGAGGTTAAGGTTAAGGTTGGTTGAGGTTGGTTAAGGTTGATTAAGGTTGGGTAAGGTTGGTTAAGGTTGGTCAAGGTTGGTGAAGGTTGGTTAAGGTTGGTTGGTTGCTTCAGGTTAAGGTTGGTTAAGGTTGGTCGTTTTTTTTTGGCTGGTTAAGGTCGCAACGATGAGCGACATGTTGCTTTAGTAAGCTTGCTGCCTCTTAGTGCTTGGCTTGGCCTGTGACGGCATCACTCAGAGACTCAGAGATTGGGACAGGATTCGTTGCAGCTTTCGAGCATACGTACCATGAAACCGATGGCATTGTTGGCCTATGCAACGGGCTATGCTGAAGAGATGCGTGTGGAGGCCACCGCGCTAGCGAATGTGGGTGGATTCGTTTTGCCGCAACTGCCGTATTTCTTGCTGGTTGGCAGTGCTCCTACACGACGTTCATTTTCAGTTTTGATCGGGACAGAGCGAGCCCAGGCCGTAGCGTGCGGCTTCGCGATTGACATCTTTGCCTGCTCTCTGGACCAGGCCAGGGCGACCTCCCTGGGTTTGAGGGAGGCTTGTTTTGGTGATCTGGAAGACATATCAGGCGGAAAGGGCCCCAGTTCCTCCTTCCCACGGTCGCCGGCGGGTTTTTGTGGCCACGAGAGATCGCCACCGACACGTTGTGCCGCTGCCGAATTGTTTGAGGCATGGGTCATAACACCGCGGGGGGGTCTTTTTGCCACCGTTAGGAATCCTTCACTGCGAGGGGGTCGATCATTTTTCCACGAAAGCTGGCAAAAAGCACCCCCCTTGCCGAACACCGCGCTCCAAGCCGTCCCCAGCCTCGGCCAAAGCGACAGGTTGGCCTCTACGAGATGAAGGTTGTCTCG